ATGGCCGCTTGATTACCTTCAAGCCTTTAAGACCCCAGACGCTATACTTTTTGATAGCCGGGCACCATCAGCTCTCTTCACCACATTTGCTTATGCACCCATTTGTCTTCAGTGATCCGTTCCTAGAGTCCTATTTCATACATTTCACGTTCCAAGTGTTGATAGTGGTTGGCAGCTGTTTCTTCTCCTTTTCAGCCCCCTCAGCAAATGAGTGCCCTGCAGGCCTCCCTCCTGCAGCCTCTGCTCCACTGCATCCCGACGGTGACTCTCCCGGGAGAATGCAGCTCTTCCCATCCATCTTTTAAGTGTCTTCCGACCAGACCAGAGACTCGCCTTCTGGCACGGTCTCAGGCAATGTCTGAGGGCTCTTCGTGAGATTCTCATTTTCTGCCGCTAATGTCTTGACGTTCTCTTTAAGGTTTTTAATGGCCAGTGTCCTCGGCAGTGGACATCCTATTCCTTCTTCATAGGCCCTTGTTAGGCTGGAAGCTCTGCTGACACCTGCTCTCTCTGGGTGAACATCTGAAATAGCAGTGACATAATTTTTGGCCTCAGGGCACCACACAAGGCGCACAGCAGGACCCACTGACAGACAAGGGGTGGCCTTTAGTGAGTGGTCTAAAGGCAAATTACCCAAGTCCTTAAAAGTTGGGGAGGGAGCCCATAAGACGTGGGAGTGAAGGGATGCAGACAGCCTCCAGAGGGTGGAAACAAAAAATTTTTTAAAACCAAAAAAACTCACGGTCCATCAGTGGATGCTGACTACAATGCTCCCATAGGACAGGGTAGAACCGGCCCTGTGGGTTTCTGAGACTGTCACTCTTTACGGGAGTGGAAAGCCTCGTCTTTCTCATGTGGAGCGGCTGGTGGTTTCACCCCGCTGACCTTGCGGTTAGCAGCCCCGTTGCGTAATGGCTACCCCCTGGGGCTCCCGGGAGAAAATGAACCTTGGAGTGCAAGAGGAGGAGCCAGACCCTCACCTCCAGGAGGAAGCTAACCCCTGCGCCAGAGCTCCGCCCCTCGGTACGTGAGGTGACCTGAGCGCAGGTGCAGGGGGCGGGGTGGGGGCGGGACTGAGGGAGCAGTCCTAAGGACAGAGAGACTGGTTGCCTCCCTGGAAGAATGTCCCAGAGTGTCCCCGGGTCAGTCACTGTACTCGGAGGGACTGTCGAATGAATGGACATATGTTCTGCAGTGTCTATTTTTTGACAAGGGTAAAACATGTATATGTATATGGGTATATATATATATATTAGTATATAGTATATGGGTGTGTGTATATATATATGTATATATATACACACATATACAATGTTCATTCTGCCCGCGGGAAAGTGGGAGTTGCGAGTCTGCCCCAGGCGCCTTGGAAGAAAGGCCTGGCGATCGACCTTGGGTTCACCAGTCACCTGAAACCCCATGGAGCGCGCTTCTGCTTGGACGCAGGATTGTGTTGATGGTGGCTGGTGCTGTGTCCGTTCTGCCTGTGCCTCCTCTTGCCACCCCCTCCCACGCCTCAACCCCCATGGCTCTGGCGCCCCACTCCCTGGTCCTCTCTCTCCCCCAAGCGTTGGATGACTGGGTCCTAACACCTGGGGCACCCTCCCTGCGTCCTCGCAGCCGATCCCTTACTCCAAGACTGCAGCAGGGACTTCCCCCGGGAGACCAGACTCCATCCCTGCGCAGCCCAGCCCAGCCCAGCCCCCGCCCAGTGCCGGCAGGGGAGGGAGCCGGAGCCTGGCGGCTGACAGCAGAGGAAATTCCCGGGAACCTGTTCCTCCGCTTCCCGGCCCAGCAGGGGCACCCGCTGCGCTGCGGGGAGAGGCCCGGCCTGAGACCCGGCCGGGTGGCCATGGCCTCGGCCCTGAGCCCGCCCCGCGTCCCCAAGCCCAAGGCCGCTCTGCCTTCACACTACTATGAGAACTTTCTGGAGAAAAAGGGGCCCCGAGACCGGGTAAGACGGGGCGGAGCCACCCGGGCAGGTGTGGTCTCTCACCCAGCCTCAGTCTCCATAGACGGCGGCAGGGGCGCGGGGGGCTCGGGGGCTGAATGTGCGCTGGGGGGCGGGAGGGGCTCCGGGCACCCAGTCTACCCCTCTGGACGGATCTCCTCCTCAATCGCTACCTCTCTCTCCTTGGTCTCTTTGTTGCTGTTTTTCTCTCTGTCTGTCTGTCTGCCTCTGTCTCTCAGTGTCTCTGTCTAACGTGTTATGGTCTCCGTCTCTCTCAACATCTCTGTCTCATTTATCTGGGGATCTGTCGTCTCGTCTCTCACTCTGTCTCTTGGCTCCTCTGTCTAGTTTACATAGGGCGCTGTCTCTGTCTGTCTCGTCTGTGTGGGGCTCTGTCGTCTCTCTTTGTCTCTGTCTCTTGGTGCCTCTGTCTAGTTTACATGGGGCAGTCTCGGTCACTCAGCGTCTCTGTCGGGTCAGTGTGGGGCTCTGTCCCTCCTGGGTCTCCTCTCTGCCTCGATCTTTCTGATACCAACAAGACCAGGAACTCCCTCCAGGAAATGGGGAACTCTGAACTCGCCCCTCCTCCCGCACTTCCCAGCACAAGGCAACCTCCAGGACCTTAGCCACCGGGGTCAAAGGCAGGACAGGCAGGCGTGTGATGAACTAGGCCACATGGGGAGCACTAGAGACAGACCTGGGATGGGTGTGTTTCCCCTACAACCCCACCCTTCCTCTACCCGCCCCCCACTCCGGATACAGCTGCCAAGGACCCCTCCCGCTTTTTTCTGCCTCTACCCAGAATGCTTTTCCCCTCAGCTTCTACACCCCTTATCCTCCCTAAAGGTCAAAGTACCTAGAGGCAGGTGATCATGGTGGCTGGGAAAGGCTACAGCCCCTGGGACCAGAGACTCAGGTTCAAATCCCCTCTCCTTATCCAAACCATGCTAACTGTGAGCCTCAGCTAGGTCCCCTGTGCAATGGGTGGAGCCTCACTTTCTGGAGAAGGGGAGTGCTCAGTAGGCAGAGGGCCTGACTCAGAGCAATGCCAGTGTGCCACAGACATGCAGTTGCCTAACGCTCTCAGGGTGGTTAGGGATCCACTAATGTGCTGATGGCAATGGTGCCATTTCCTAGCTGGGGAAACTGAGGCATGGAGACTGTCCATGTCTTGCCAAAGGCACATAGCAGCGCCTTCATGAGATCAGCATTGAGCCATTGGGAGGTTAACAGTGACAGTTCTACTCCCAGTGGGGCCACAGCGCAGGCCTTTAGAAAAGGGTTGCTTGATGTGTTTATGGAAGGGTGGGTACATTAAAAGGGATCGTTGGATAAATGGGTAGGTGAGTGCATAGGTGGGTGGGTGGATTCATGGTTGGATGGATGAATAGATGGGTGAACACATAGAAGGATAGAAGAAGGGTGGGTGGGTGAATGGGTGTGTGTTGGTTAGATGGATATGTAGCTAGAAGAATGGGTGGGTGGATAAGTGGATGGACGGAGGAGAATAGATGGATGAATGGATGGATGGGGGTTGAGGGATGGATGAAGGAGGGATGGGTAGATGAATGTATGGGTTGGTGGGTAGGCAGGATAATAGATGATGGGTAGGTGGAAGCGGGATTAGTGGATGAATGGATTGGGTGGTTCGGAGGATGGATGAGTGGATGACTGGATGGATGGATGGATGGGTAGGTGGATGGATGTGTGGATGGATGGATGTGTGGATGGATGGATGGATGAGTGGATGACTGGATGGATGGGTAGATGGATGGGTGGATGGATGGATGGATGGATGGATGGATGGATGGATGGATGGATGGATGGGTAGATGGATGGATGTGTCAATGGGTGAGTAGATGCATAGATGGGTGGATGGATTGATGGATGTGTGGATGGATGGATGTGTGAATGGCAGCTTCAACCCAATCACCATCCTTGTTTCACTATGGACTCATTTAAGTGCCTTCTCCTTCAGGAAGTCATCCCAGATTCACTCGGTGGCAATCTCTCTCCTCCTCCTCGATAATTTCATGGCCCAGAGTTGGTGCCTTCCAGGGGCACCTTGCCTGGATAATTTGTACTTAGAACATGATCTGTTTAGAAAACAGGATGTGTTCCACTCATCATTGTATCCACAGCAGAACTGGGTACAGAGTAGGTGCTTAGAGAATATTAGGTAAACAAACCCTAGCACCCCACCCCTGGAACCCTGAAAGATGTGGGCCATTTGGAATGTAGAACCTTGGGGGAAATCTTGACTCTGCAGAACTTCTAGAATTTCACAGAATGCTGTGAAATTCTGAGACTGTAGATTCAGCATCTAGTCCAGAACCTGACATCTAGGAGGAGTGTGTGTGTGTGTGTGTGTGTGTGTGTGTGTGTGTGTGTTCATGGGATGGGTGGATGGATGGATAGAGATGGGCAAGTGCATATATGTGTGGCTGTGCTGAATGGGTGGGTAGATAGATAGAGGGATGTAAGAATAGTTGAGTGGGTTGATGAATGAATGAATGAAGAGTGGATGGATGCATGGAGGGAGAAGTAGGAAGGGAAGGATGGGTGGATGTATGCTTGGATGGGTGGGGAAAATGAATGAAAAGAAAGTAGGAGGAGGGATGGGTGAGTACATGGGTGGCTGAATGGATGGATGGGTGAATGAATGGATGGAGGGGAAAAGGGTGAGGAGTCAGAGAGGGATGTGTAGATAGATGGATGTGTGGATGGAAGATGGATGAGTGAATGAGTGCATGGTTGAGTGGATAGGTGAGTGAATGGAGAAGTGGGAGGGTGAATGAGTGAGTGGAGGAAGAGAGGGATAGGTGATTAAACGGGGGAGTGGTTGTCTGCAGAGGATGGCAGAACTTTATTCCAAAATCCCAATGGTCTACACTGTGATTCACCAAAGACTCCACGCTGCATCTTTATCTACAACTGACATTTCTAGCGCGCTACTGAGGCTCTGGGACCATCCCTCTCCTCAATCACACTTTCCATTGTAAGAAGGACTAGCCATTCAGCTTCCCTATACATGTCATCCTTACAAAACTCCTGGAAAATATCAAACATACGATCATTCAGAGCCTCTCCTTTAACCAGCACCTCATCTATCGGTGGTGCTACTCTACGTATTGTTTTTTCTACTTCACACCATGGATTAGTAGGAGTAATAGACTCGCCCATGCTTTGGGGTGTTGAAGTAGCATTACTATTGTTAAGATTAATCAGGCTGGAGAGCCAATTTAAGAAGCCCATATTTATGATTTTATTTCTCTAGAAGCACTCCTGGTACCAAAATGTGTTAGACAGGGTTCTCTAGAGAGAT